CCTTCCTGTGCAGGCCCCAGGCTGCCTTCCCGCCTGGCCAGTGCACCAGCCTGCCTCCCCCACTGGCTACTGCCTCCCACCGGGGGCTGGCATCCGTGCTCTCAGTCCTGCAGCCTGGACTGTGTCTCCATCACCAAAGGGCTGGCGGGGGGCCGGCCGGACACCAGGGCCCGCCCTCCCATCGCTGGACGGCCACTGCTCCTTCCTCATTTTGCTGCCGATTCTAGCCTCAAACAAAACAGGTTGAGCCCTTTTCCTCCCTCCGGCAGCTCCTCTCTGGCTTGCGGCTGCCTTCTGAGGCGCTGCAGACGGCGCCGGCCAGGGAGGGGGGGGCCTGGGCCAGCCCTGTCGGGACTGGGACGGTGCGCCTGGCTCCTGGCCCTCCTTCAGTCCTGTCTGTGGCAGGAGAGCAAGCTTTGCCGCGGCAGTCCCCTTACGATGATGCCCCAGCTCCAGTTCAGAGATGCCTTTTGGGTGAGTGAAGACTGGCTGGGACACTGAGCAAGTGGAATGGGCCCCTGGGAGGCCAGCTGGGCTGGGATTGCCCTGTGGATGTTAACGGGGATGCAGCTCGAGGGGGGAGGTTTTCTCATGAAAATAGCAGTTGATTTGAGGTCTTAATTATGATGGGGCATAACCTGGGCTTCTGTCCCTTCTGAGTTGGAAGGGGAAGGGGGTCCTTGGTCTGGGGAACTGATTGCTCTGGGAACCTCACCACAGTGGGTGAGGGATGTCATCTGTACTCTCAGGCCTGAACTTCTCGGAGAGACCCTGCCCCCAACGGCAGGATCTTAGTAAGAGGATCTAATATATGGGTGGGAACTGAGAAGGCCATGTGAGGTGAAGGAGGGAGGGGGTCAAGTGTTTGGGGACCGGAGAGACTTGAATTTGGGTCTTGGCTCTGCTCCTTAGCGACTGGGGGAGCTGTTTGACCTCTCCGAGCCTCTCTTTCCCCAGCTACACAGTCCAGATCAATATTAATAAGCATCTCAATGGAAAATGGGAGAATTTAGAGGGGCGAGCTCATGTAATCAAGTTCCCAGCACCTTGCTGGCACGCCAAATGATCACTCTTTTGCCCCTCACACAATCTCTCTTCCTCACAGACTCTTGGGGTTCTCTGAGGAGGCTGCAGGCCCTGGGCAATTCCTTGCTTACTTTCTTCAGTTCAGTGCAGGTGTCCTTCAAGTCCTTTTCCCCCATGAAATGATAGCCCCCAACAGGCTCGGGAGGTGAAATGGCTTGGTGTGGGCCACACACAGCCTGCAAGTCCACTCTGGACCCCAGATCCCCTCAGCTTTTTTTGCAGCTGTGCCTCTATCTTTCCCTTTGCTTCTCAAGCTCTGGCTGTTCCTAGTGGCTTGTGGGAAACCGCTGAGACCCCTCCGGTTAGAGCCGGGGAATGAGGCTGTACTGAGGGCACCCCCCTCCACCCCGCAGAGGACTCCCTGGCCCTTCACTCAGCTGGCTCAGACTCAGCCAACAGCCTGGCCCTCCCTGGGCCCTTTCCTGGGGCCTGCGGCCAGGAGGATGAGAGCTAACGAGCCAAGCCTTCCTTCCCTTCCGGGCTGTGCTCTGCTTGGGGCCTGTGGCCAGCGTGCGAATGGCCTGCTTCCCGCCTGCCCTGACCACACAGTGGGCTGAGGGCCATCTGGGGAGGGTACCCCGTTCCTCTCTGGGCCTCCATTTCCCCAACTCTATAAACAAGAGGTGGGCTCAGGTCAGAGATGCCAATGGAGACAGACCTGGCTCAGCCCAAGCCAAGCACCAGGCTGGCAGCTGGGCCCACACAAAGGGGCGGTGTGGCAGTAGGGGGTGGGGCAGTGAGTCATCACCTCTGCTCTGCCTAAGAGTGCAAAGTGGGGGAAAGAGGTAGGGCCTAGATATCCAGGGTGCTCTGTAGCCCAGAGCAGATGAGGAGACCCTCCCCATGGCAGGATCTGGGCAGTGGGGGATGGTGTGTGTGGGGTGGGGGCCAGGGTGTGGCAGGGACAGCAGCAGCAGGAAGAAAGGAGCCCACCTGTGGCTGAGGGACAGGCAGCCATGCTCTGGGCTTGCCCCACCTCTGAGCCACCCCAGGCTTCCTGAGCTCCAGGTTCCTCCTCCTCTCCCCTGCTGCCTCCCTGGGCTCCAGTGAGGATCTAGCCCAGGGAAGGCCAGAGGCAGATGGGTAGAGAAGTGGCCCATGGGATCCTCTCACCCTGAGCCTGGGGAAATGCCCCAGAAGGTCACTGTCAGCATCACTGCCCCCAGGGCTCTGAATTTAAACCCATCTCTCTGGGGCTTGGCCCAGCCCAGCCTACAAGGACTGCTAACACTGAGTACTAAAGATGAGTCAGGTGCTGTTCAAAGGACTGTTTGTCTATTCATTCATTTAAACTGGTGAGGTAGATGATCTCGTCCCTATTATTCACAAGAGGCAGTTGAGGCACAGAGAACTTAAGTAGCTTGCCCAAGGTCACACAGCAGGGATTAAACCCTGACAGGCTAGGTCCAGTGTCTGGGCCCTCACCCAGGTTGCTTTAACACCCTCTCTCAACCCAGCGGATCACTGGATCTTTGGGCCACATCAACAAAACAGAGGGGAAATTTCTGTCCTTCTGCCACCCAGAGAAGTAAGAAGATCAGATGAGGCTGATGGAAGTAACTGGAAGCTCAATTTACAGACAGATCTGTAACACGAAAGACATAGTGATCTAACCGCTGTGGGGGTACTAGAGACAGAACCCAACCTGCCCCCACCCCAAGCCCAAGGCATTAAACCTCACAGCCTCACAGTTCGAAAATGAGTAGTCTTGCGTAGTGGAAGGAAGCCCTTGAACTAGAAGGATCATGTCTAATACCACAGCACTGCAGTTAACATCCCGAACCCTCAACCCTCAACCATCCCGGACACAGGTGAGAGCTAGCCCTGTTCCCGGCACTCGTTCGTCGTAAGAGCAGGAAACAAAAGTGCTTTCCGAGGAGCTAAGAGCTTATATTAAAGCTCATATACTTTACTCACATGAGATGCCCCATCATTTTTTAATTAGGGCCTATGAACTCTAATCTTACCCATGATTTTAACAAGCTTAGTCATGTGGTCTTTATAGACACAGCAGTTAGGAGAGGTCTACGTGGAACTTGACATTCAGTTGGTGACAGATAAATATTGCTGGGCCTGAATGGTTAGAGACAGTTTCACAGGGAGCGGGTGGCCTGAGAGCAAGGGAGGAGACCAAAATATTCTTAAAAGCAGATAGAATGGCTCAGAGGTGGTGGGAACATCCAGCGTGGGAGCAGGCCAGTTCTGTCCCTCAGTACGCCTGTATTTGTCATTTTATCAATGTGGCCACCGGTATTTATTTATAGCCTACTTTCTCCTGTGGCAAAACACCGGGATGCAGTCCACTTGTGGAGTGAGGTGGGGGTGAACTAGACACAGGGCGAGGGGATAATTTGATTTCTGTTATACAGATGATAAGGGGCATCGCAGCTTTGCAGGAAATTGGTGGCTGGGCCTCAGAGCAGGGCCTGTCAGTGACACAAAGCTGAGGGTGAAAATACCAGGTACTTGAGCTGAGACGGCTTTTGATCTTGTAAACCCTGCCTCAGCCATAAATCTGAGGGGCACAGAAGCCCAGAGAAGGCGGGGTCCTGTCCCCCACTTCCCAGTCTCTCCTTGCCAGTGGCTCTTCTCCAGGCAGGCAGCCAAACTCTGTTGCAGAAAACATCTGTCTGCATCTTCAACAGCCTTACCAAGCAAGGTAGTGTTCAGTTTTTGTACAATAAATCTAAGAACAATGAATGTCTTCATGGTCCCACCGCCTTCCTGAACCCATTTTCTCCTTAGTTTCACTTTAGTTCTATTCTACAAATGGCTGTCAAGTGAGATCCTCTGGGAGGTGGTCTAAGCTGGATTCCTAGCCTTATCCCCACATCCAGTCAGGTGAATGAGACTGTCTGGCCCTCAAGGAAGTCACTGTCCAACACTGGAGACAAAGGTTCCCTAATGACTGGGCGAGGCACAGGGAGGGGCTGGGCTCTGAGCTGTGCCTTCTCACCCCACCCTCCCGCTCCCTCCCAGACCTGTGCAAAAGAGCCACCAGATATTGTTTTAAGAGGGAAGATCTAGTTCTGGATCAGGTTTTATCGAGATCCACATCTTACCCCTTTTGAGGCTGTTAAAGGCAAAGTAAGGGCTTAAGGAGGCTGGGCCACATACTACAGTGACATCTCCCCTCGCTTTGGGCAAGAACTACCAAGGGAGTGGAGAGAGTAAGCCCGAACTTTGCCCTCTGACTTGTAGCCACATCGCTTCCCTTTGAGGTGAGGCTCCAGCCTCCTCTAGAAACCAGCCAAACTAGGAGAGGCTGAGCTCCCCAACACGCAGAGGACTGAGGCAGACACCACTTTCCTGGGTGGGGGGGATGACTCACTAGGGACACACAGGGGGCTACAGATGGGCCCATCTCTCCCACAGATGCCGGCTCAAGAGGCTCTTGCCTTTTCCTCTTCCCAGCTCTGAGACTCTGAGTTTCCCAATTTAGGAGAGAGGCCCCACTTTGGCCTGTCCGCCCCGCCCCCCGGACCTACCAATCATGGCCCTGGGGCCTCACAGAGAATCAGGAGAGGCTCATGTTCTCTGGGCACCTATTCTGTTCTGAGCATTTGAAGCTATGTATATACCTCCTAAAGCAACAAAATCAATCAGTGTAAGATTCTAAAAGGAAAAGAAGAAAATAGAGAAAACCAGGTAACAAAGCACCCTTAGTCTCACCACACGAAGACAACCAGTAATATTTTGCTGCGCTTCCCTAAGAGTATCTCACGCAGGTGCAACTGTATTGTGTACACAGTGTTGTATTCTCCCTGGCTTGGTTTTTCTTGCATTTTAAAATTGGTCTATAATTGTGGTAAAATATACCTAACATGAATTTCACCATCTTAACGTTTAAGTGTACAGTTCAGTAGGGTTAAGTGTACTCACGTTGTTGTGGACACCCCTCCCCTCCGCTTTTCAACATAATTCCATTTTGAACATGTGTGGGTGTGGGTGTGATTTCCTCGTTTCAAAACACCATTGTTAATGGCTACCCAGTCCAGCTTGTGGGTTTGGTAGACACAGGCATGATTCATTTATCCAATCCCCTATTGCTGGACGTTCAGCATTTATCCAATCCCCTATTGCTGGACGTTCAGCATTTATCCTATCCCCTGTTGCTGGACGTTCAGCATTTATCCTATCCCCTGTTGCTGGACGTTCAGCATTTATCCTATCCCCTGTTGCTAGACTGCCAGGTTGCTGCTGCCAGTTATTCCTTATTCTGGATAGAGATGCAATGGGTAGATCCTTGTGTATCAAAAATTTTCACTTGCGGATTATTTCCTTGAGTGGATTCCTGGAAGAGGAGATATTCCTGGGTGAGAGAATGGGACCACGTTTCTAGACAGGCAGGAGCCTTTTGATCCAGGAAGAAGGGGCCAGAGTGGCCC